GCTCCAATCAATTATTGATTAACAGCATGTATGACACAGGCATCTCAACCCATTACAATCCACTGTATTCTAACTTGCTGTTTCAATATCTTTCAACATGTTCTGTGCTTAAATAAAACCGTATATTTTTTTGTAGGGTTCAAGTTTGATGTGCGGCTGTATGTAGGAGTCACTTCCTATGACCCTCTCAGAATATACTTGTATGAGGAAGGATTAACAAGGTACCTTTGGTTCATAAATACTTAATTTATTTTAATTTAAATACTTAATTTACAGACCTCGAACTTGGTTGTGTTAAACTAGTCAAATAATAGTTTTGTTTGAATTGAATTGAATCAAAAATTGAATTCTAGCCTTTATTTATAGCAAAGAAATTCCAAGAAATCTATCAGATCAATAAGCCAACATATAATTTGTATTAATGGTCTCTGTTGCCATTTAGATTTGCGACAGTCAAGTATGATAAGAGTGTGAGGAATATTGGAAATACCTGCATGCATTTGACCAATTACAGCGTCAACAAGAAAAGTGAGAACTTTGTMAGGTGAGAYARTARTCCAGAAATGTAGATTTTCTCCATTTTGTTCTTGGTTTTCCTTGTTCTCTCTCTCTCTCTCTGCCTTTGCATCCATCTATTTCCATCTCTTTCCCTCTCTTTTCCTCTCATTTTCCTCTTCACCTCAGCCTCACTGATGATAGGCTGATGACTTGATATTCAGCTGTCAAGACCCGGAAGTAGAGGATTATGGGAACAAATGGAGCATGAGTGCATTGCTGAGGTACCTGAAGGAGAAGGGCAGAGACACTGCAGGTAATGAAAAAAATTAATATTGTGGGACAGTAATGTAGTGAGCTATACAATCCATCTGTCTGTCCATCCAACCATCCATCTATCTATCTGTCCGTCCGTCCATCCATCATCCGTCCATCCATCCATCCATCTATCTATTTATCATCCCTCCCTCCTTCCATCCATCCCTCCCTCCCTCCCTCCCTTCCATCCTTTCTCCCTCTCTCCCTCCCTCCATGCTCCATCCATGTATCTATCCATCAAGGCATCTGTTCATCCATCGTCCATCCGTGCATTTATCCATCCATCCATTCAGTCATCCATCTGTCCACCAACCCATTTATTTATTAATTCATTCATTTTTTCATTTATTCATCCATTCAATCAATAATTTGATTATTTATATATTTTATAGCTCTAATGATGAGGATTGAAGATGTGGTGATCAAGACGATCATAGCTGGAGAAC